GATGATAAGGTGGATTCATATATCAAAGGTAATATTGATTCTTATTAATTTGATATATAAATATAATCATCGATTCATTTAGCTAACTTCAGTAATTTTAAAAAAGATTATTGTCACCATCATTTAACTAACTTCAGTAATTTTAAAAAAGATTATTGTCACCATGCAACGCATGGTGTCAAACACTCGTTATTACAAAAATGCTCCGATAAACTTAATCGATAGATTACAAAGATTAAGGGCTAAGATTGGTTCACATAGTTAACACTAATCACTGGGTTAACAAAAGAACCAACCTCTATATATAAATAATATAGGGAAAGGTTCAAACGAAACATCTTCATTTTATGAAAGCATAAGAAAACCTATTTATTGTAGTCAATCAATGTGATACTATAGTTAATCATATATGATATACATGTAATACTAAATTAGAGACGCGGGTGATCTTTAGCGCAAACTAGGTTGCGAGACAAGTCGTCCGTACACCACTAGTCTCCTCATGTGTATTACTACATGTGGTACGAATGTTCTTGATGTGATACGATAATCCATCACATGCGATACTAACTTAGAGGCGTGGAGATGACCTTTGGCGCAACCCAAGTTGCAGGCCAATTCGTTGGCACACCACCAGGTCTCTCACGTGAATTATCACATGTCATAAATGTGTTCTCACGTTTTCGTGAAATGGAGGTAGTTTTGTTTGAACCTCCTCCATAATTAATATATATATATATAGAGAGAGAGAGATGCATGAAAAATCATATATCAAACTTAGAACGTGAAAACCAATATGTATATGTTGTTTTATTTATGAAATAACATATGTGAGCATGCAGTGATCATACAATGTTGTTTCATAGATGAAACATGTATCGATGAATGTTTTGTACGTAAAATGACACAAAGATACGTTTATACATGAAACAGAAAAACATACTTACACACACTAACCTAACATATAAAACAATATGAATCAACTTAAAATCAAACTCATTGGATGTCTTGATTGATTTTCATGGGTTTGGTTTTCACTTGGAAACTAGTTTCCAAGGTTTCTAACTTTTTGATTTCTATCTAATTGGAAGTATATATATTTAAAAATAAATTATCAAGCATTAGATATTGATATTAAAAAAAAGTTATATATTATAATTTAAAGTATACAACTTATTCCTGCATGATGCACAAATCCTTAAAATTCCACATTCGAACCCTATAAACAATAAAACCAACTGATAAACATGTTCAAGTACATGATAAACTATAGTTTTTTTTAATACAACATAATACTCAACAAAGTTTAGATTATACTGTATTACATGGATAGATAATTAATATATCATTGTAATTAACTTGACCTAATGTAAAGAATAGTTGTAAAACGTTGTCCAACAAGAAAATTAAGTGAAATTATATATATATATATATATATATATATGAATCACCATTTCAATACATTGAATCATGACCATTTCCACATTACTTTTTAAAACCATCCACACATGATTCATGCGACCCTTGCACTACCAAAATAACACTCTTTTCCGGCGGACAAATCCGCCGGAAAACCCCATTTCCGGCGGATTTGTCCGCCGGAAAAGAGGGCGCCGCTGATTTTTTCTCCGTCGAGTTTTCCGGCGGATTTTTCACGTTTCCGGCGGAATACGGCCGCCGGAAATCTTTCGCCGGAAAAATTAAGTAACTCGGTTTACCTTAATTAAAAAAATTTAAAAAAGATTTCCGGCGGATTTTTCCGCCGGAAATCC